TTATTTCTGACTCGTTTTCGTCCACGTGTAACAGTACCATTCTGACAAGACTGATTGTTGATATTTTCATTGATAGGTCCATTAAAAACCTGACTTTGATCACTTTTCTGAGTGTTATCATTTTCATTTTCTATCTCATTTGACAAATTTGAATTCGTCTCTTCATAGATACAATCTTCCTTAGCAGCTTCATATCTGTTTGGTAATGATATATTGTTATTATTGTCTAAATGTTTGTCAAGATCTAAGATGTCATATTCTTCGTTTGTGTCTCTTGAGTATACGAATGTATCAACTTCTTGACAGCTTGTTTGATTAAAATTCGCGAAGACATCGATACTATTTTCAGATACCATACATACATTGTCATTGTTCAGTTCGTCTAAAAATGACGCAGGCAAACTATTCAAGTCATATACATTCAGAGAAACAGAAGATTCTTGTGGATTTGATATAAGTTGCTCTTTTCATCTCAAATTCATCATTAATTGTCATAGGATATTGAACTTGATTCATGTCTGTTGATGTGTTCGATGTTGCTTCATCATTGCAATTAAAATGATAAAAGGCCCTTCACAGTGAACTTGAATCACATCTGTAGTTACATTCATCAGTTCAGGGCATTGAATATTATTTCATGTCCGTTGTTCTATTAATAGCTGTTTCATTATTACCACTAATATGAAAATATCCCGTGTATTGAACTTGATCATCATTACTTATTCTATTCACGGTGTATCGTTATTGTTATTAAATGTACAAGGCATAACATCTTGATTTTGAGTCACTTCTAATGTTTTTTTACTTGTTGTTTTCATAAATGTCACGAAAGGACATAGACCTTACGCATAAATTATTAGCTGATTCATAACTATCACTAGTATTTGTTTGTAATGGAATACTTTTTTAAAGTTTTAAGTTATTCTTCAGAGTCTTCAAGTATCTCATTATCTGAATCACTATCCTCTAGCATGTTAAGTACTCGGTTTACACTGAATTTATTCATTTCAAAATCTGTATATATTTACAGATAACGATTCATAATGTCTCGACACAAATCCTTTGAGCCATATTTCATCTTCTTGACTTTCAACACTTAAATGCAAATATGCCAAATCTGGTTGTAAAATTCTTACACATTGTTCTATATTCAACTTTTATGCCTGAGATATCTAGAACAGACAATGTTAAACTTTCACACACAAATGCTATAGTATCAGGCCTTATGTTTGTAAAAAGATACATATAAGTGATCCAAATGTGCTAACTTTGAAATTATTTCGAAATCCTGTTAACCAAATTTGTACATTCCGAAACATTAAGTATTTCTAAGTTGCAAAGCATTGGCAGGAAAACACAGTGTTTGAAAGTCTGCATCCTGTTAAGTCGAGCCAATACAGGTTTTTAGCATTGGATAATTTTGGTAACTAGCTCAAAGTCGATTTCTGAAGACCCCAAATGCAGTGTAACGCCTGGGATGAGGAACTCAAGAAAGGCAGAAGAATGATCCAAAATGTTTCTGAAATTAGTAAGTGTCCAGTTCTAGTGGATGGTCAAATGAAAAAATGCTTCCACAGACAAGATGTTTTCTTCACAATTTCATTGAATCTTGTATGTGTTACAGACACAGTTTTAAGCAGTTCCTGTATGTCCAAATGACTAAAGATTTTTACTAAGACTAAATCAGGTAGATCAATTAAAGTCAACATCGAATTCTTGTCAACTTGGTTTTCCATGAATCTGAATATAATGGAAAAAAATGCATTAGAAGATGAAATGTGTTTTTCTTATGATATATGGTTATAATAATGTAGTTTTTTTTATGTACAGTCACAACAAAGGTCTTCTAGGTGCTAGTGTGGTGGCTGTAAAAATCTTCCGATATCTGGACACAGTGTTGTTAAATCGTCTGAGAACAATATTTTAATAATACAGTTCCGCTTTATACTAGTTAACAGGCTATGAGTGGTATTGTACTATAAATAATCACTAGCGAACAGACCAAATCATACTCCGTCGGTTTTCTAATTTTTTTATATTGATTGTAGTCTGTAATATCAACAGATCTTTTCTTCATATTATATTAAAATAAAAACATTTATAGATAAATTACAAAAATATTCAGTAATAGAAAATGTGACAAACAGTTTCCAATGCTTTTACATTTTATCCGAAACCTTGTAAATCCGAAAGTATTTCAGTTTCCTTGGAGCACTAATTCCAATTCTGTCAATTACTGAACAATTGCTTTTTGGAGCACAATCAACAGATACTCTGGTTATGTTTCTATAAAAAACATATTTAGATTAACCAAAACATATCAGGATCAATGAAATCTTATCGAAAAAGTCCAAAAAGTTTCAACACAGCTTTCATTGCAATGGCCGCGCTTCAAGACATGCAGTAAATGAACGTGTTTGATTGGCTTAAAAGATGCGTCAGTTTGGAACGAAATAAATAGTCACAGAACCGACATGCGTCATTAAGATACCAACATAAAATGCATGATTTGGCGTTCCACAGTGTCACAAGTAGTTTCATCTTGTAGAACTCGTCGAGCTGAAAAAAATGATACCAAACTCGACATTTTTCACAAAAAATGACTTGCGTCACTCTGGAACTAAAGCGACGAAGTGTCAGGCACTTTCGCTGTTCGGTGTCCATATGCATTATTGTACTTTTTGATTTGACACTCAGTTTGAACAAATTCAAATGTATTTTTTTTTAAGGATTTAAGGTGATCCTTGTCTTTTGTTGTCGTTATCGGTTTAAAGTAATAATAAATTTAACACATGGTAATAACACACGGTAATCTTACAAACTTGATATTTATATCAGATTCGTTGCTTATCTTTAATTGGCTAAATAAATTTGTTGCAGGAGTCTAATTTGGTTCATTCGATTAAAACTTGTAAAAAAAATGGAAAAATTAATTAAAATTAATTTGACTAAATTAGATATAAAATCTTTATTTCTTCTGCAATGCAATATGTTGACAGTCGATGTCATTCTTTGATTGTTTGTACCCTGTAGGGGCGTGTTCTTGGAAACAGGGAGCAAGATGTTTTCCTGGAACTTGCACTGGTGATATGGTACTTAGCAAAGACTGCAAATGTGCCGTCGGATTCGGTGGTGGTATGGACTGTGCAACGGGTAGGTACACAGTCGGCGAGTACACAACTGTAAAACTCGTACCGGATGAGGCTCTAGCCGGGTCTCATATAGGTTGTGTAGTTGTGTACGAGTAATCAATATTTTTACTCAATCATTATACCCCCGCACAACAAAGTTGTAAGGGGGGTATACTGGAATCAGCTTGTCCGTCCGTCCGTCCGTCCGTCCGCACTCACATGAGAGTAATTATGTGGCTAGAGGGACAATAGGTAACTGTTCTTTCTCTTTGATGTCATTCATTCCGTAATGCTTTTATGTGGCTATTTTCTTTTGTGTGGCTAAAAAGAACAATAGAGAGAACAATAGAGTAGCCACATAATTACTGTCCTGTGAGAACGTCCGGCTGTCCGTCCGTCCGTCCGGCCGTCGGTTTTTTCTTGTCCGCCCAATAACTTAAGATTCCTTTGACCCTTAGTCTTCATATTTGGCATGGAGGTTAGTCATGATTAGTAGATGACCCCTATTGATTTTGAGGCTACCAGGTCAAAGGTCAAGGTCACAGGGGCCTTGACTTCAAAAAGCTTGTCCGCCCAATAACTTAAGATTCCTTTGACCCACAGTCTTCATATTTGGCATGGAGGTAAGTCGTGATTAGTAGATGACCCCTATTGATTTTGAGGTCACCAGGTCAAAGGTCAAGGTCACAGGGGCCCTGACTTCAAAAAGCTTGTCCGCCCAATAACTTAAGATTCCTTTGACCCATAGTCTTCATATTTGGCATTGAGGTTAGTCATGATTAGTAGATGACCCCTATTGACTTTGAGGTCACCAGGTCAAAGGTCACAGGGGCCTTGACTTCAAAAAGCTTGTCCAACCAATAACTTAAGATTCCTTTGACCTACAGTCTTCATATTTGGCATGGAGGCTAGTTATGATAAGTAGATGACCCCTATTGACTTTGAGGTCACCAGGTCAAAGGTCAAGGTCACAGGGGCCTTTACTTCAAAAAGCTTGTCCGCCCAATAACTTAAGATTCCTTTGACCCACAGTCTTCATATTTGGCATGGAGCTTAGTCATGATTAGTAGATGACCCCTATTGACTTTGAGGTCACCAGGTCAAAGGTCAAGGTCACAGGGGCCTTGACTTCAAAAAGCTTGTCCGCCCTATAACTTAAGATTCCTTTAACCCACAGTCTTCATATTTGGCATGGAGGTTAGTCATGATTAGTAGATGACCCCTATTGATTTTGAGGTCACCAGGTCAAAGGTCAAGGTCACAGGGGCCTTGACTTCAAAAAGCTTGTCCGCTCAATAACTTAAGATTCCTATGACCCACAGTCTTCATATTTGGAATGGAGGTTAGTCATGATTAGTAGATGACCTCTTTTGATTTTGAGGTCACTGGATCAAAGGTCAAGGTCATAGGGACTTTGACTTCAAAAAGTTTGTCCACCCATTAACTTAAGATTCCTTTAACCCACAGTCTTCATATTTGGCATGGATGTTGATCATGACTATAAGGTGACCCCTATTGATTTTGAGGTCACTGGGTCAAAGGTCAAGGTCACAGGGACCTTGACAAAAAAAGCTTTTCTTCTCAATTGCTAAAGAATGTCCTGTCCGCAATGTATTGATTTTGACATTTTCACATTTGAAGCATGTAGAATACATAACTTAGCAATGCACTGGCTTAGTAACCTCAGATTTGGCAGGGAGGTTGTCCTTGAGCTCTAAATGGCCACTGTTGATTCTGACAAAGTGGTATGCGGGGGTATTCACGTCATCATAGTGGCAGTTCTAGTTTAAACTATCTCTTATGTTTATTTGACATTTCTTGTTGCATTTTGATAGAACTTTATTTACATAAAAAGTATGTTCTTTGCAAATGACATCCGATCACAGTATTAAAACGCTTAATGATACAGAATTTTATGTGTCTCGAATATGTAAGAGAGGTAACTCGTAAAAAAATTAACGACAAGAAAAGTTTCTTCAAGTAGATTTGACATAAATTTTGAACTTGGAATATAAAAAACATTTCTAGATTGAGTGAAATTTGAATTTGTTATTGATCATTTTGGCCTCTGAAGAATGAAAAGGCTAGATGAAGTACAACACGGACTAAATATATTAACTAAAATTAAAATAAAAAGAAGGTTGAAATTGAAATAGTTAAATTTTATAATGTGAGAAATAAAGAAATTTTTTGTTTTTGTTATTTCTTGAAAAAAAGGGTTCAAGTCCATCGCTGAAACTGTACATTCAATTATACTTCACCATTCAGGAGGATTTTAACGAGTTATCAACCATTATCAAATTCTATACTGATTTTGTTATTGTTTTTCCGTTTATTTTTAGCTACATCTGAAAGACAACCGACAATTAAAGATTTCTTTTTTACCCTGGTGGATAATACAGATCATAAACTGATATTGGATAAAGCATTTAATAAAACAAAATTCTGGACCAAAGTAACTGATTGGTCTGAGCTAACGCTGAAAGCTTCGTCACACTATATACCGGAGATAGACAAAGAAAAGAAACCAAACTATATAACAGATTATACGATCGGAATAGATGACATGGACATTGGTCTCACGTTGTTAAGAGGTATATACTTTAACTAAAGTCATATTGAATTGCAGTTATTGTTAAATTTCTTTTGATAAAATTTTACCATTAATGATAATGATAGGACACTATTCTGCCAGGTAATGCCTTTTATAGCAAGAGATGTTAAAGTAAATTATGTTTTCAAAAGTCAGTTTAAACATTAGCCATCATATCAATGTTTCTTGTTCATTTTAATGCAATTTGAAAAAAAAACTTCCTTTATAAAGCCCTTTCAAATAGTCAAGACACAGAGTTGCTTACTTTCTATTTATACTTGTAGATATATTTTTTTCATATGCTTTCATTTATATTATCATAAAAATTATGCTTTCATTTATATTATTTTGCCTTTAAATAACAGTTTGTGGATTATCTCATATATCGCTGACGTTAGAATAAAGATAAGGAAATATTCAAACAGACTTTCTTTTGTCAGCTTCAGTGTTCCAATGATGTAAAATATGACGTCATATATGACCATTGGTTTAAGCGTCAAAATTATGAACATGACAATTCGTTAACTTATAATCGGTTACGTGACACTCATTTAATTAATCAATCATATTCTTTGTGACTTTGTTAGTTTGCCGTTAAGTTGATACTGATCAAATGAATCCTAGCCTTTGAAAAGACTGAAACAAGTTCTGAAAGAGAAAGCTATGTTACCAAGAAGTGAACCTAACTATTTACTGCTGAAGGAATAACAATGTTTTATTATAATAATATTACATAAAAATGTTGAAAATTGCAATAATAGACAGAATATATTTTATTCCATGAAGGGCAGATCCAAATAGTAATAAATATTTTGTGTTGTTTTGCAAAAAGTATAATATGTCATTAAGGTAATATTAGTTTATAAAAAGTGTAACTTTAATAACAGGTACGGACAAGGCAGAGTGGTCAATAAACGGAGGATGTACAAACTTTGCTGAAAACTGTGATAAAGAGATCAAGCCGAAATATTTAAAGAGTATAACATCATGGCAAAGGATATTTAAAGGAAACTTTATGCATGGGGATAGGTATGGAAACAATATCAAGGCCAGTATATTCTAATACATTGTATATCTACACATCTTTGTCACATACCCATTTACCCATAAATGATTAAGATGTGCAAATTCGGTAGGATGGTTCGGGAATTAACCAATTTAACTGTAGTTCATTAAGTTAGATTTGTATATTGTACAGATCATGCCTTTGAGCAAATTTCGAAAAAATTACAAACTTAAAACTAGTTAAGGCTTATGTAGTTCTAATATAAGATAATACGTAAAACTTAATAAAATTTTTCAAAAATTAAAGTAAAAGCACTTTTTCTTTTCTCTATATTTTGCACTTGTACTCGTAAACCATTGTTTTTTTTTAAAAGCATTCATCAACAAAACATTCAAAAAATATTCTTGAAAATATTAATGTACATTTAATTCATAATTATATATTATTGGTTTATGTCGAAATATTTTCTTTCAGAATAGAATATACCGTGTCTGCAAAAAACGGTGGCAAAGTACTTTATGAAGATAGAAGTAGTTTTCAGCGGCCGTATTCAAAAAAAGAGTATGATCTTATTGGTATTAAAACAACCGAATTTCTTGAACTGGAATTTGACACTTACCCACCTGTCCATTGCTTTGAACAAAGTGACGACTGTAAGAAAGATGCATTAAAAGCAACAGATTTTCTTACACAGGTAATGTAAGCAGCAAATATATTTTAGAGTTATAAACTGTTTAACCATTCAATTTCAAAATTAAATTGATTATAGAAATAATACCTTCTTTTCCATAATGTAAATTACTAATTCACTTGACTGTACATTGTCCATTGCAACATTTGCTTTCTTTGTACATTTGTATTTACTTAAACATTGTTCGGAATAGTGCAAAAAAATGGATGTGAGCATTAGCATACAGAAAGCAAATGATGTTTTAGTCATGTCACACCTATGATTTAATTATCGTTTCTTAGATATATCTTTGTTGAGAAAATAATCTTTTTAAAGAAATGTCCCATACTATTGTAAAAAAATGACAAATATATAAATGATTAAATGATAATGTTACGTCAGCCTCGTAGACAATATACATTCGTATGCTAATATAAAAATTCATCATTTACACTGCATAATTATGGTATAAAAATCTCATTTCAGCCGAAAGTGACCGTACAGTGGGACGGATGGAGTGACAGTGATTCTGGTGTAGAAGAGTATGTGTTTAATATATACACATTAAAAAAAACAACTGACACTGGTCCACTTATGTATGGAAATCCGCTGAATCCTTCTATGAATGCCAGTTCCTCATATGTAAGCATGCAACTGTCTGAATATATATATTACAAGTAGAATAAGTATAACAAGTACTTAGAATTACAAGTCATTTTCTATAATTTCGAAATAAAAAAATACTGACATACTGACAGTCAATAGTACAGTCACTGGGAACCTTTACGGTGAAAAAAGTCTATGGGTTAATTGTATATCAAGGAAAGCTACATATTTAACGTTTACAAATTTTGGGTAGACATGTAAAATCATGGTACGTGTTGAGAAATTCAAGACGGCCGCCAAGATGGCCGTCTATCATTTGAAAAATGGCTCATTTGTTTCAATATATTGTGTTGAAGAATGTTTTCAAGATTTTTTGTCATGGTTGCAGTGTAATCTGATAACAAATCTAAATGGTTGTGTTCTCACCTTTACTAATATAAGGCTGTCTGATTAAATAATTTTTTGACAGTTAGAGAAAAGGGGATAACATTACCATTTTGTGTTCGAAATTTGACACTTTCTACTATTCTATAAAAATATAGAGCAACATATAAGTCATGAAAACAGGTCTTACTACCAATCGGTATACCTTCACATAACAAATAGGCCATAATAGAAAGTACCTTTCCATCGATGCTTCAAAATTCTTTATAAAACAATTAAGTAGTGATCTATTGAATATGAAGTGATATTCACCTGCAGAAAATCATATAATCTATAGATGGCCAAATGGTGTAAATATTCTGAAATTATGCGCGGAGGGGCACTTGCGGTCTTCCTCCAAAAGTAAAGCAGGAAAATCGTAATATGACATTTAAAGTGTTGATGCGACGCAAGACCCAACCAGATGTCAGCCTTTATGATCATATGTCACACTGTGATAAAGTGAACTTTTAGGATCGTTTTTTGTCATCAGCGACTCATTCAAATGATATCTTCTGTGAAACAACGAAATGTTTATATATTTTACAGTGTACAGCAATGACAAAAACCTTATTGATTTTAATCAAGTCGTGACCCTCGGGTCAAAGTTGGACCAGCCCAATGAGCCAGTTTTATATAGTTTTATGTAGAAAAAGGATTTTTGTTATCTTTTTCTCTCAACATAAAATGTCTAAGATCTTTCAACAATCTCTCGTTGAGTAAAAGCAATTTGTTTCATTATATTATACCCACTAAGCTCGTAAAGCATACCTCGTCTGATCGAAATTAACCTGCCACAGGGTTGCTTGATTTAACTTATTCTCATATATGTAATACTTAAAAATCATTCCTTAAATCCCAAGGTCTAGAGCTTGTAGATTTTACCGTGTTTCTTCAAATCATGATTATTTTACACAGATTCGTACCTTAAAAGTTATTTTCTTTTTAACTGCAAGTTGCTGATTGGATATTTCATATGTATAATTATATAGTAGATCACTATAAATTTTAGTAAAATCATGTTTTTTAGTTTTGTTTGTTTGAGTTTTACAGCTATCTACGTATCTTGGTTAAAGCTTGGTCGATCGAACTATCTGACTTTTATGTAAAGCTTAAAGTATAACCAATTCTCTGCAAGCTACTTCCTTCAGTGACTGACAAATAAAAATAAGACCCGATGTCCGAGATCAATGGTCGCCTGAAATCTTCGCTAAAGAGCTAAGATTGCGGGTCATCACAACTGACGCAGACAACAATTAAAACTTTGATTGGCGTTGGTTTTAAAGCTCCCCCACACTAGAACTTGGCGGCATTTGTATTGAGTTGTCTGAAAAGTAGTTTTAACAAACATAGAATAATTGTCCGAGATAATGAACATTTTATAGTAAATAAATGTCCTGTTACAATGTATACATGTCTTTATTTGTATAATGATACTGATAAATATTCAAATGTTCACGAACAGTTTTGTTGGTCTTATTAATGCCAGGTAAATAGGCCACTCATTATAAGTGTTTATTTTCCTCTCATAAAACATATTACAAAAGTAGACTTTTTTGTAAAAAAATGTTGTGTGTTACTTTCAGAGTTCCCTCACGCTAGAACTCGACGAACCTGGGCCTTATTCTATTGAAATTATCACATACGATCAGGCTGGAAACGACAAAGTTGCAAGGAGAATAGTATTATTCGACAATGCATCTGTTGTGGATCTTCATGGAAGTCAAAGTAGAGCCATACAGGCCACAGCAAATAACTGGATAAATAAGTTTAGTGATGTAATTGAAATTGTCTGGCCAGGAAGATTTAGAAATGTTAGACATAGTGACGGGGGGTGGCTAAATGAAGTTCCGGAAAGTAAAGATATAAGCAGGGACCTTGATGATCGTCACGGAAGATCTGAAAGGACAATTGAAAAGATAGATAATATAGATGGTAATAAATGTTTGTTATAAATATTTCGTATGTACGGAATTCATTATGCCATATATAACAAGAACCACACAGATTAGAAATATTTTAAATCTCTTACAGTTCTTAGAATCAAAAACAAAATTGTCTTTTCACCGTGTATATAATATAAAGCAGGAATGTGCAAATGACACAGGGAATTGTACAGCAAAAGTAATGTAGAATTGTATAATTCTATGGTCAAAGTAATCACAACGGTACATAAATGAACCAATATTTTTATAGAATGAAAGGAATAAATGAGCGCATACTTTGCTAACTAAAATTTACAGTGTTTATTTTATTCTTATTTGTGAATGATGACCTAGCTTAGATAAAGCGACTCGTCATTATGACCTAATACAATTACATATAAATTACATTACTGATTTTGTTATTCGGTAAACCTGAAATATTTGGCACACTACGTGTGTCATATTACACTAAAATTAGCAGATAAAAGGTAAATAAGACAATTTTTGAAGACACTAGTAGTTTGGACAATTGTCTAACGTGTATTGAATATAGACCAATGAAGATTTTTACATGCGTTACTTTACTTACTTATTTCGATGAAACACAAAAGTCATACTTAAAACGTTAGTAAGATCGGCATTCACACAAATGATCTAAAAAAGTAAAAACAAGAAATGCTGACACATTTGTAATACTGGTTAAAGTAAATTTGTACCACCGGTTACAGTTCATAGCAAAAGTATGCGCTAATTCGTTTCTTTGAATTTCAGTTCCAAAAAAATACTTTGGTAATGAAAAATACTCGTTTTTGCTAAAGCGTTGTACGGATTCGACGTAACCTTTGCGCCTAACGTAACTTTTTTCATATTCTGCCTACAGGATATACACAGTAAATCTAATTGTTATAGTTATAAATAGTTTTTAAAACTCAAAATCAGATTAAGATATTTTTTTAGTTAGATGCTTTAACATATATTGACAATAATATTGTTGCAGGGATTATACGTTTCGAAATAGCATATTTGACCGAATTCCAAAACTCTTCAACATTCAGTAGTTTTCAAAGGGTACCTGATGAGTATTTTCATAGCCAGAAAATGATATACACGGATGAAAAATTAATCGATGGCAAAAGATTGACCTATTGTATACGTGGATACGATGTTGTTGGGGAATTTGCCGAAGACAATGTGACAGTGATGATAGATCTGTCGCCTCCAGTTATACAAAATTTGTGGCTGACAAAGGGAGATTTAGTCAATATCAGCGTTCACAGTGTTTTGGAATTGAAGGAACTTACGTAATTAATTAGCTATGATATATATTATTATATTGAGTATGAACATTTAGAAATAATATAACATAATAAAAAATTCTTCGAATTGATGATTTAATTCATTGCGACCGACATAAAAGTAAATGTTTTAACTTAATTCTAATTTATAAAACATTAACTCTATTCAAACGTTTGGAAACTTGTTAAATGATTAGGTTTTAAAAACTTTAATTTGTAAAAATCACGTCTCAATTCAAACTGTTAAAAATTAAATAATCAAAAGTTTTTGATAACGTATTAATATGCAGTTGGAAAGCATCATATTATCTATTTTTAAAATTTGATATCTATAATTTATTTATTCTTGGTTTTAGAATTGAATGGGAAACATTTGATTATCACAGTGGTATACATGAGGTGTCGTGGAAAGTATTTGATAACTTTACTAAAGATGTGGTTGTCTATGGTAATTCGAATGAACCTCCACAAGGTGAAACAAAGGTAGATCCATTGAAATTTTTATTGAATTCATATGAAACTAAATTTTATACTTTCAAGAGATGATTTCACAATTTTAGTAGAGAATGGCATGCCATTCAAAATAGTAAAGGTTTGCCGTTTCAATATAAAAACTTCAAATTTTTTAAGGCAGTTAAGAATTAAATAGGAGTCACAGTTTTTTGTCGCCTCTACGGAGTAATGGCGACATATAGGGATCACTTCTCCGTCGTCTGTCTGTCCGTCTGTCTGTCTGCCTGTCCGTCTGTCCGTCAGTCACAAAACTTGTCCGGACTACTCCTCATAAACTACTGATGCACTTTCATCCAAAGTTTACAGGAATAATCAGTACCAAGTCTAGTTGTGCATCTTGTCAGCATATTCCTGTTCAATGATTTTTGTCAGAGTTATGACCCTATAATAATTTTTATTTTTATAGTTTGTCCGGACTACTTCTCTTATACCAATTATGCAATTTCAATGAAACTTTACAGGATTGATATGTAGCTCAAGTCCTTGCGCATATTGCACGGGTTTTTCGGTTGAATGATTTTTGGCCGAGTTATGGCCCTTTGATTAAAATGTGTTTTTTTCTGTGTGTTGCCAGATACACAAAAGCTTGTCCGGACTACTCCTCATAAACTACTGGTGCAATTTCATCTAAACTTTACAGGAATTGATCAGTACCAAGTCTAGTTGTGCATATTGTCAGCATTTTCCGGTTCAATGATTTTTGTCAGAGTTATGGCCCTTTAATAATTTTTTATTTTTAAAGTTGTCCGGACTACTTCTCTTATACCACTTATACAATTTCAATGAAACTTTACAGGATTGATTTGTAGCTCAAGTCCTTGCGTATATTGCACGGGTTTTCCGGTTGAATGATTTTTGGCCGAGTTATAGCCCTTTGATAAAAAGGTGTTTTTTTCTGTGTGTTGCCAAATACACAAAAGCTTGTCCGGACTACTCCTCATAAACTACTGGTGCAATTTTATCCAAACTTTACAGGAATGATCAGTACCAAGTCTAGTTGTGCACTGTCTGTCCGTCTGTCACAAAACTTGTCCCAACATGAAATTGGCCATCATGAGGCGACACATGTAATCACTGATCGCTCTTGTTAGTTGTAAAATCTACTATTTCAAATTTTTATTTTGGATTGACGTTTTTTTTATAAAGGATTTAAAGGAGTGTAATCAAAAATACGGTTTATATCCCCGAGGACCAAACTGCTACTGTTCTCCGTACAATGGATGTTTTCATAGACATTATCAGATCAAACCACCAGTTTCTAACGTTAGCAATGCTGGTTTACACTTTGGTAAAGAAATAGGCGAGCACGATTACGACTATTATATAGAGGTTACTGTTATCAACAGTGCTGGGTTGTCAACAACCAAACATAAGAAGGTATTGTGTAAATATGTCTGAGTCATTTACAGTCATTGATTAAATTTGTAGCGTTATATTCATTATCGCAATAAAGGTAAAATACATTTCATTCTAATTCTTAATAAAGGTATCGTTGTAACTATTCTGCAAGTAGAATTGATTATTTAAAAGTTTTTCTATATACTATTAATGAGATATTTTTTCAGAAAGAATTTTAGTATAAATTCTTTGAAAGAAATTTTGAAAGTGTTTCTTTCAGTTTGACAGAGTTTTCTGCTTAGCATATGTCTTTCGAATCAGAACGGACATCTTAATCTGCTTACAGACATTAAATAATAAAAAAATCATAGCTTGTTTATTAAAAGTCACTTAAAACATATTAAATATATATGTATTTAACGTATGTGTTGTTTTCGAAGATAACAATTGACACGTCACCGCCACACGAAGGCAAAGTGTATGATGGTATTCTTGGAGATTATGAAGTTGATTTTCAGCAGTCACTAAAGGTAGCAGGGCATTGGAATGACTTTTTCGATAAAGAAAGTGGTGTGTGGTTATATTCATATGGATTTAGTGAAAACTGTTTAGATGAAAACGATCTTGATGTACATTCAAAGGTAAACAAAATGTTACATCTGTTAGCAGAATGCTGTTTAGAAATCAGTAAGGATATATTGCAGCCATAATTAGCAATGAAATAAGGTGAAATACAGGACAATATTGTACAGCTAAACACACTACTTTGTTTCTCGGTACATATTTCTAGAATATAGAGATTGTTAGCATGAAAAAAAATCTTGCATCTGATGAAGGACAAAAGTACATCTTAAGAATAAAAACAATTGTATCTTTAGTAGATGTCTCTTTTTTTTACTTTGACTAAGTTTGCTATTATTATAAGCTTCTGGAATATTAACAATATCTGACATCTATATATATATATATTTGTGATTTCTGTCCAGTGAGATTGACGTAAGAATCTTTCATTTGAAGTTGAATTTCGTTTGCTTGAAAAAGTAATGAAAATGTGAAAGTTCACATGTATCATACTTGACTCTATTTATTTTACCATTCAGGTTAATTGGACGTAATGACAAGTAGAAGCTTGAAGTTTATAGCACCAACCTGCAAATATTTTTCCCTCACAGAATGGCTATAAAAATCACGCCTGGGTCAAGTAAACCCTGTTTTGTTCTGACGGTGTTTACGATTGATAACTTACCGGCCTGGTATAAACGTATAGTTATTTAAAACACGATGCTGTTACGGCTCAAATGGTCTTATCAAAAGGTGATGTCACTGATACGCTTATATCTCAATAGAAACAGAGAAATTGAAGGAATTGCTAATTCCTCTAAACTTTGCAGGTTTGTAACCATGCTAAAGTTTGCACTTATATTTGACTAAATGAAAACTTTAATTAAGGTTATTTTATGAAGGTGACGTCACAATGAGCCAAACAGCACGTGCAAAAACTGTTATAATAAAGAACGCTATTTTAGTGTTGCAAAACAGTTAAATCTCACTTTAATTTCACTATGAATACTCTGCAATTTGCTTGAAAAAAAAAGAAGATAAAATTCGTAAAAAAATAAAGACAAAACATCTTTTCAACGATTTCAAAATTTGTTATTCTCAGAACGTTTGTAAAAATTTAACGACAGTTTATTTCAACCGACTGGAACAGAACGTTGCTCTGGATGAAAAACAAATTTTACCACCAAAAATATTGTCCAACTATATTTTTGTTTCTTTAAGTATTTGAAAGGAATTAGACCTTGATTTTGAGTGAATTGTATTATATATATATATATAATATATATATTACATATAGCACGTTATGTCGTTGAGATATTTGTAATTAATCACTCAGGCTGACGGCCTTCGTGATTATACTACATTACTTCTGAACTCAATACCGTGCTTTATTATAACACAGATCACTCAAAATCAAGAATCAAATCTATTTTCTTAATTTACCATACATGCATTGAAACGCTTGTATTGTTATTTATAGAGATAAGGCAACTACAGTTCAAGAATTTATCATAAAGCTTTACCCTCTTAGAAGGTGTTTGAATGGAACTATAGATGTTGTTGAATTAAATGAAGAATGTAATGAGCTACATGGCGTTCATTCAGATTTGATATCTTATATCACATCTGATTCAAAGGTGAGTTGTTGTAAGTTTTCGCATCTTAAATGTGTCAGTATTTACACAATTTGGAAAAGAAATCTCTATCGAAAACTATAGACATATTTGACTTAACTGTAGAGTAATTTAGGTGAAATAACTGAAAAAGTATCTTTAAATTACAAACAATCATACATTAATAGCCACCCACATTGGATTAGTAATCTAGAAGCCGTTAGTTCGATTCTCTGACTGGCGAAATTTCTTCTTGGCAACCTATCTTGGACATTGAGTCTTAAAGGTCATTTGTCTACCCCGCTGATTCAGAAACCGCGTCATCAATTACAGAGAAATGTTTTATTACTAGGAATATCCAGGAAAACCTATCGGCTTGGTCGGCTATATAATATAATATATAATATATATAAAATATACATACATGTGAACTTTTTACGATGATCAAGTGGGAGATTTTTTTTCAAAAAGAGGGAGATTTTAGAATTTGCAATTAACAAAGAAGAAAGTTTTGATATCAAAAAGAGGGAGATTTCCCTTTAATTTGTGGAAAATACCCTTATTTTTAAGAAAAATCTTTGAAAATATGAACGCAGAAAGTGGGAGTCTCCCGCTTAAAAAAGGGGGGGAAAGAGTTCACATTAAATGAATTATACTTAAAATCGGCGTAAAAACCAGAAAACTTGATTAAAAAAAAAAAAACTGAATTTTTAGTGTTGAATATAATTTGCGTCCCATCTCTGATAATCAAAATAAAAAAGATGCAAGTAATCGATTTTTTTTCCCTCACACAACTAATAACCATTCTATATTAAATGATAATTAACAACTTATACCTTTAGGTACTTCAAAGTGTTACAATAAATGCAAACTTGTTTAATTAAAAATGTTTTCCTATTGTAGATCGACATATCTGGAATGTCACACTTGGGATGCTGGTAATTGTTTTTCATGATTTATGAAGTTGGAATAGCATCTGAAATTCAGAGCTTTCCGGAATATTATGGATTTCACGTCCTCGCCATCATCATCAGCATATACGTATATTCCATCCTGATATATTTGACGGGGAAGCAGTTTTATGTTTTTTAATCAAATCGATAACTAAAATCATCTGTCACTGACATTAAGGTTTTCTCATTATTTAATTACACACACATTATATATTCAGAAAATTTAAAATGAAACGAAATAAAATGAATGTTTTAAATTGAGGTTATAAATAACTATAATTAATGAAAAAATAAATAATATGGAGATATATTGCATTGCAATGCTGAATGTTTTTCCATTTCATATTTCATCACTAAGAAAGTTAAGGTATATGACAACCATATGTCAAGAAGGATTATATTCCTTAAATACGTCAGTTTTCTATTTATTTTACTCATTTAAGTGCATAGTACATTTTCGAACTGTTATATTAAATGGATTAACATGAGAAAAAAAAACATGAGGAACGACTATTCATTTTCGTGTCCAAAAAAGCACATTGATTCAATTAAGACCTTTAAAGTATTTAATGTGTACCACCTATATTTCAGAATAATTGGGGCCATTTGTTTTGACTCTTCAAAGCCAGATTTTCACGGGAAATCAGCCCTAAACAGTTGAGCATTACAAAGTGGCGAAACATATCTGGTGGCCAAGTGGGTTGAAAATTCATTTTACCGGACCACGGAGACCCTCAGCTCTGCAATATGAAGCAAGCTATTTACGTAGTATGCACTATGGGTGGCACTTTATTGCTTTTATCACATTGCTGTTGGTTATTGCTACTTGCTTGGTTTGTTTTTTGTACATATACCATGTTTATATAGAAATTTTTAAAACATCCCTCAGGGTTTTTAATTTTTATTTTTTTTTTCCGGGAAAAACAAGAACCGGGGAAAAAAGTCCCTTACCCTTTTGCAAAAATATTAAAATGGTGGGTTGTAAATTTTACTTTCACCACCAAACCCTTTCGCAGCTTTTTTCAAAAATCATTTCCCCTTTCCCTGGCACCCCCCATTTTGGTGAACTTCGACTACTTTTTAAAAAAATTTTAAAGTAAGGGGATACGGGAGGTCCAACCTTTTTGTTTTAAAACTTCCTTTAAAACCAAAAAAGACCCCAACATTCAATTTTGCATTTAGAGGCATTGTTCATGGGAAACGACGAAAAAAAAATTACCCCCAGGTGATTTAAAAATTTTTTTTTCAAATATTTTCTTTTTTTT